AAAAAAATAAGAGGGGAGGAGGGTCGTCTGTATTGGTTACTTGTAGAAATTCCCATAAAATTGAACAAGACTCTGCTTTCAGTAGGTTAAATCAGGCTAAAATCCTCTCCAGTGTGGTCCTGCCGAGACGGTCTTTGTTTAGTTAACCTCTGAGACCCGCATTTAAAAGGCCTATTTGGGAAATTTCACCGTCCAGGGAACCAACGTCTTTTGCCCATTTCTGGGCTTCCCTTCTTCCCTGACGCTCCGTGGCCCACGATTCACGAGCACGTAACGTACCCATTATCCCGAGACGCGTTTTCTAACGCGGGAAGGCAAATGTAAGCCAGAGCACCACTGGATGGACAGCCCAGCCCGATTTCGGTCTGCAGCCCCGGTGCCCCAGAGGGGTTTAATATAAGAGTTTATCTCCACTTCCTTCATAAACCTGGCTAAATATTCAAAGTTCCCCTCCATACTATCTGTCCCTTCCCACCAAAAGTTTTGGCAAGAAAATAATTTTTCATAATCCTCGAGCAACACAGTTTACACCAGCAGCACAAGTGGTGTCCTGAAGGGAGGCACGGGGCTCATTCGGGCGTTTCTCAAGGGAGTCCCAGCGCAGGCCTCAGGTCCTGCTGCCCGAAGGCTCACTTAAGTGTCATCAAGGTGGCTCGCTGGGGGCTGGGGGGGCTGGAGACTAAACAGCCTGAGGGGGATCCTGGCACCCCACTGCTTTCCTCTCTGTCCTCCCTTCACTTCCCCTCCTCTCAACACCTGTCCAGTTGCAACCCCTCCCCACCCACACCCTCAGCATACAGAACTGTCCTCCTGATATTTACTTTTGGGTCAAAATACAGCAAAACAAGCTTTAGGAAAGACAAAAGGAAGCAGACACAGCCCCTTGGTCAAAGTCCCCAAAGGCCACATGCCTTCTCTCTAGGCTAAGACAGGCCGAGACTTGAGACCTGCAGTCCACAACGGCACCCAGAGGCCCCGGGCCGGCGGCTTTGCACCGTCCTCGTAGGAATACAAATTCTAGGGGCCCACCGCTGGGCCAGGGGGATGGGAGAGGAGGGCAAGAACCCGGTCCTCTCCCCTCCATGAGTGGGGTGCCAGCCCCCCAGCATCAGCTTCTCCCAGCGCCTTCAGTCCTTGGGCTGCGGCCCCACTTTAAGCTGCGGGAGCCTCGGAGCCCCGAGGCCTGGAGGCAACGCCCCCAGGGGCGCGGCGCCTTACCTGCGAGCTCCTCGCGGGCGTTCTGGTGCAGGTAGCTCTGCTCCAGCGAGTAGGACGACATGCTGGAGTGCAAGCCTGCGGGGGCCGCGGGGTTGCTGCTCGGCGTCAGGGCGGCGGGCTGCTTGAGGTAAGGCGAGGCGCCGGGCGAGCTCCAGTGCGCCCCGGGGCTCGTGTAGGGCGAGTGGCACTCGATGGCGCTCGCCAGGGCGGGGGACGAAGGCACGGGGCTGCTGCTGCTGTCCGGGCCGTAGTCCCCGCCGCCAGCGCTGCCCCCGGCAGTGCCTACACCCCCGGGCCCGGCGGGCACGGGGCAGCTGGCCATGTAGGTGGAGCCCGGGTTGGGTGACATGTGCGGGACGTGGTGGTGGTGGTGGTGGTGCGGGTGCGCGTGGCCCGGGGCGCCGGCGCCGGCGTCGTAGCCCCCGGGCATCATGTCGAGGCCGCCGTAACCGCCCTGCCCGTGGCAGCCGAGCGGCGCCGACGGGGGGGCCTGGAAGTCGAAGCTCTGGGGCAGCAGCGAGGCCCCGAAGCCCAAGCCACTCACCACCCGGTGGTACATGGGCTTGAGCGCCTGGCACTTCCGCCTGAAGCCGCGCGGCCGGCGGCGGAACGAGCCCTCCTCGAACATGAACTCGCTGGCGGGGTCGATGGTCCAGTAGTGGCCCTTGCCCGGCCGCCCGAGGCCCTTGGGCAGCTTGATGAAGCACTCGTTGAGCGAGAGGTTGTGGCGCACGGAGTTCTTCCAGCCCTGGTAGGCGCCGCGGAAGAAGGGGAAGCGCGCCTGCAGGAACTGGTAGATCTCGCTGAGCGTCAGGCGCTTGCTGGGCGAGCTCTGGATGGCCATGACGATCAGCGCGATGTACGAGTAGGGCGGCTTCTCCGGCCGCCGCAGCCCGGAGCTCGCCTTCTTGGAGCCCGCGCCCCC